CCGCCCCAGCCCCGGCGTCCAAGAGGAGCGCGGCGGGGGCGGAGCTGAAGCAGCAGAAGCCGGCCCCCACGCCCCCGCCCGCGCCCGGGGCCATTCATAAGGCCTGGTGCCCACAACAAAGAGAGAGCGGCACGGGAGGGCCCGGGAACTTCGTCCAGGAGCTGCGCGGCTTGAGGGTGGGCTTTGTCCCTAGGCCTGCAGGGGCAGGATGCCGCGTGACCTCCCCCCGCGTTCGTCCGGGAAGCTACTGCGAGCGGAAGCGGGAGGCAATCCCCGCGCCTGGTAGCTGGGCCCGTTTCGGCGGCTCGGGGGAGGGTTCGACCTTGGGGCGTGAGGTCTCCACGAGGAGTGGGGTGATGGCGAAGCCTGCATCCCGGTGACGTGGCCGGTGTCGGGGGGACCCTTCCCGCGCTGGTGCCACCTCACGTCCCACCCCAGTATCGCGGGCCGGACCCGCTTCTAGAGTCGCACCCTCCTGAGCTATGACGTGACGCGGCGTTCCTGGCTGCGCCCGCGCGCAGCGCTCCGCTCGAGGCTGCGGTGAGTCAGCAGCGCTGGCGCGCCCTCTGCCGGCCCCATCCAGGAGCGCTGCCGGGAGTCCTGGGGAGGGGGCGCGAGGCTGCCCCGGGTAGGGGCAAAGCCGACCGACTGCCGGCGTGGGGAAAGCCTCGCTAGGAGTGTGAATCCTCCAAGACTCAGGTCGTACATCCGAGGAGACAGGCTGGAACAGCAACTAGCTCAAGGTCACTCTGAGGAGGGGGAGTGCCCGGGCCGGAGGGGGGGGGCTTGGGNAGGGGGTGCTGGCTGCGCCTTGCTTCTCCCATTCTACGTCCCGGGGACGGAGGGAGAGGCTTCCCAGAACTGGAGATATCCCGAACCCTGCCTGCCCCAAGAACAAAGAAAAGTGGGACACCTTAAAAGCCTAAAGTGGGGTACCCCTCCTTGGCCCACGAGATCCCGCCCACAACTCACCGGGCGCGGGCAGTCCGAGGTCACAACAGTCCTTAAAATACCTACGTCCAGAACTAGTGCGCGGTAGCAGGGTAGGTCTGGGGCCCTACGGACGGCCCCGAACCTTTATCCGCACCGCCTTCCCTGGGGTGGAGTTTGGGCGGGCAGTGACGCAGGCCGTCCCCCGCCCCTCCTAGTGGGCCAGGGCCTCGGAGCGCCTGGCCTGGGCCACTTGCCCTATAAATGACTGAGCTCCTTGACTGCCTCCGAATCCGAGGTCACGGTCGGCCGCGTCGACGACTCTGGCGCACCCCTACTTAGGCCACGGGGACTGGGTTTCAGGGTGCACAGCTGGGCTCCCTGCCCCACCCTTTTTCCTGCCGTTCCAGGCCCCGTGCTTCCACCTGGGAGCGCCCGCATGGCGGGGCGGGGT